GGTAATAAAAGCCGTGACAGTTCACCCCTTCTCAACAGCCTTATCTCTTAAGTTTGAGACCTTTCTCCGCTTCACAGTCCTACGCAGTTATGGCTGGTCCAGGAGATGCTCACAGAGAATCCTATTTTCATGGCTAAGGGAAAAAAGCGGCAGAGACACAAACTGCCCCTTTTCCACACCAAACAGTCTTGTTTCTTCAACAGGATCCAAAGCAAGCCAGACTTCATCAGAAAACCACATCCAAACCGACGGCGTTGTCCTGGAGGGAGGGGTGGCCCTGGACAAATGCTAACTCAGATTCCATTCTATCAGAGTCTGAGGCTCTACGCTAAGTCTCTAGACAGAGAAAATGGTGGACAGGCCCTACAGACTCCTCAGGACTGGTCACTAGGTTTCTTTCTTCCCCTCTGCTGATTTGAGAGAAGGCTTGCTTCCCATTTGTAAGAAGGTTATTCTTCCAACTAACGTGGTGTCTCCAGTACTAAGAGCAACCTCTTCTGGAAGCCATGGCAATCGGCAGAATAGCTTTCAGTGTGTTTCACATCAGCAAGCATGTGAAAATCATCCTTCTTTCCTCCACCTACCCTGACACTGTCTACACTATCATGCACTAAAACAAAGAATCCCTGTAGACTGATAAACATAAGAGCGGGGGGGGGGGGGGGGGGGGGGGGGGGAGGGGGTCTCTGAGATCAACATTCTAATCCTTGTTCAGCTACAGCTTTTGAACAATGCTGAATGCTCGCCACAACGCTATGTTTAATAAGGCTTTGGCTCTTTAAGTTTTAAACATTAAGGCTGGGATACTCACTTCTCAGCTTTTAAACACACTGTGTGGACAAAGGTGCTTGAAAAGAATTTTAGCTCTCTAGAAGATGATAGAAAAAAATAAAGTCATGTTACATTTAGTACTTTACCCACTTTTTTCTACTAAATACACATGTCCTCAATGTCCAAAAAGATGATTTAATGTAGCATCTCTTATAGTTCAAAGATGATATTTTGTAGTAGGGAATTAACTTCTAATTGCACAGCATTATATAACATTATGAACTATTTAAAAACTTTCCTAAAAGGCTAAAACAGGCCATAAAGTATATCTGGGGCCAAATCTTATGAGGCTTTCAAAGGCTCTTTTATAGATCATTTAGGAAGATTAAAGAAACCCCCTCTACCCATGAGAGTCCCTACTCAGTCACTGTAAGGTCCATTAAACATGAAAGAGATCCTTATTTTCTACTTTCCAACCACGGATTTCTATCTCTCCACAAATTGTCTCATTGGTTATTTTACTTTTAACTTTTAAAACTTGCTTTCTTATTTATTACCTCATTTTATCTGTGAATGCTATTAGGAGCCATATATAGAAATGGAAATAACAGTTCCATTGTTCCTTTGAGTGGGGGGACAGTCAAGATCTCACCTCTCCTTCTTTCCCTCTTTGTCTCAAATGTCAAGTGTATAAAATTAGACGACTAGCATGTCGGGCAAAAAAGCAGAGGATGGAGTAGCCATGGTGGGGGAGGGAGGAGCCGGGGGCTCAGAACAAAGGATCTGGGGAGGAATGCAAGAAATAAACAGCAATAGGGGTAAGAACAATGACATTTTTAAAATGTTCAGGAAATGGGAAAGGAAAAAGACCTATGTATTTGGGATTAGTACAATCTCTCTACATATGGGAAAGAAAGGCAGATAACCTTCTTTGTAGGTGTAACCAACATCTGGGGATTCTTTTGCCTAAATAAGGTTGGAAGGATCTCTTCTCTGAAGTCAGTTATTCTGGGACCAAGCTAAACAGGTCAAAGCACATGGTGTTAATGGCTCTCTCTCTCTCTCATCTTTTTTTTTAAGATTTTATTTTTAAGCATTCTCTACACCCAATGTGGGGCTCAAACTCAACTCCGAGATCAAGAGTTGCATGATCCGCTGACCTAGCCAGCCAGGGGCCTCTGTGTTAATGTCTCTTAAATCTATGTATATATCCGCGATCTTTCACAAAAATGTTTCCATTTATAAATCCTACAAACAAATCTAAACCTGACCTGTGGGGGTGATGTATGTGGTATATGGATAAAAGACGCTACTTACAGGGGAAACTGAGGATGAAGCGCATTAGATGGAATTTGTTAAGCAGTGTGCAGAAAATCAGAAATGTGCTCCTGCATAGATGAAAGGTGACTTACCAGTATCTCTACAAATGCTTAGACTTTTTTTTCCCCCCTCAGAAATAATTCTTGCTGAGAAGGAGCCAACTAACAAGCTCCGCCCCTTAGGTGTGGTGAGAACTTGTATTAGCAGGTTGTTAATGAGCAGCTCTTTTCCCATTTTGAAACTCTGCATTTGAAAAATTGAGGATCTGAGAGAAGTCGGCTACAGAATTATAAAAATAAGTTAGAAATGGATCAAGGAAAATACATTTGAATGGAATCGACACGTCGTATTTTAAAAGAATATCGATTTTCACCATCTCTATTGGGTAGAGTTGCTGCAAGTGGAAAAATAATTGATTATTCTTCATCAAGGAAAGAACTAGATAAAATGAGTTTAACCATTTTGTGAAAATTGTGATCTTGAGAAACAGAGGTGGCCCCATAACAAAAGTACGTGAAGAAAAGGCTGTGACAACTAATCCCTCATCTAAAGAGTCTGTCTGGCTTTTTCTAGGTGGAGAGGGTAAATAAGCCAAAGCATTCTGGTGAATTCTGGAACAAAGCAGCATTTACTTCAACCTACATGGGTGCCTCCCACTACGTTTGGGACTTTTCTTCCCCAAATATTCCTCCTCCCAACATCCTCATGTGTCACCTTATGTGTCACCTCAGGTTTTCGGTGGATTCATTGGAAATAATCCAGTTGCATTCAAAATAGTAATGCTGGGATCACTGCTTTAAATTTCTTTTCTAAATGTCTGCTGTAGCAAACTGACCAATCTGTTTATTTTTTTGAAAGACTTTAGGTAAAACACAGTGTAGTTGAATGGTGACCGCCCTCAACCAGCAAATTCAGAGGAGGCTGCTGCTGAGGATACTCTCCTCTTATTAACAGCTTACTATGTGCCACATCCTGTTCTAAGAGTTTTTCATGTATTTTTTAATTCTCATACTAATCCTATGAGGTGGGTACTACTTATTAGTCTCATTTTAGAGTTAATAAAACACAGGCACCAATTCATAGCCTCAAACTATGTATGGTCCCTGGGTCAAACCTAGCCCTAAAGTTTTACTGGAAAATCCATATCCATTCATTGACATAATGTCCTGTGGCTGCATTTGAGCTACAACAGCAGACCTGAGCGATTATAAGTGAGACTTTAGGGCCCAGAAACCCTAACATTTATTCTCTGGCTCTTTAGAGAAAAAGTCCACCAACCCCCAGTGTAAAACATGGTCAATTCACCAATCATGGAGAAAAAAAAAAAAAAAAAAAGGGCAAGAACACCTGGGCAGCCTGGAAGAGAACTTCTACTGAAACTTTCTTAGCAGAGAATATCCTGTCTTTATCGGTCCCCTTTTGTTCAGATCTTACCCATTTCCTCTCACCAAGGTTTAGCAACCAGCCTCAGAAAAAAACAACAGTGTTCATGGAATATCAGTTCAGTAACTTACGGCTCTCTCTCAGTATGGTGACTTTTGGCCAGGTGGAGAGATTTCCAAGAAAGAAAAGAAAAAGGACAGACCAAAGCAAGCTTTGACAACCATGAATTTCCTGAGAGGTTGCAAAATTTTTGGCAGTTTCACAGGTATTTCTTCGCAAGTACAAATGACATCATTGTTGAAATTAAAAAGAAAATTGGCCTGCTGTATTCTACATTTGGTATCCCATATTGTTTTGGTTGAGCATCAATTGATTTTTCTATTTTTACCAGGAAGTTATGTCATAACTATTTTTAGTAGACAGTGTCTGGTTCTGTCATTTATGGAACTCAACACACAATTATGCCTCAGAATTTTTTTTCTAAAGCTCTGAGAATGCATGTATTTGGTGCAGAATGTGCTCATCAGCAAATATTCCACAATACTCTGAAACATTTTAGATTAAAAGTCTAAAACAGGAAGAGGGCACTAACCAATCAAAGAACTTGGTATATTCCCAGGCAGCAACGTGGGTCCAGCTTTATAGTATATAAATTTGCATTTATATATCGATTTTCACCGACATATTTTTAATCATTAATTGAGAATGAGTTAGTATCTGAGCTGCTCTGGTAATTTTTACTTTATCCTTAAAAACCTATCTATAAATCAAAGTCGATTCATAACTCAGTTTCCAGAGTACCTAATCTGGCCCATCAGCTGAGCCCAATTCACGTGGGGTCAAGTAATTTACGCAAACTTGTTCACTATCAAAGTGAAAAGAAAGTAAATGCCCGAGGCAAGACAAAGCCCATGTTTTTTCTCTTCCCTTCCCTATCTTCCCCCAAACACCAACCAATAGAGAACAGCATCAAACAGTGACTCCCAAGCTCATCTGAATCCCAGAGGGCTGGGATCTTCCACCAGCCCTCTGCCGGGGCCATACCCCAGGCCCCTGAAATCACAGTCTCTGGAGGTGGGACACAGGTATCAGTACCTGTCTGGGAAGCTCCCAGATACCAGTAGACAATTGTGATTAAGGTGGAGATAGCCGGATGGCTTCAGTCCAGATACACCTGACATCTGCAAGTCAGGACACTTCCAGTCCTGCTCCAGGCCCTGTGGAGCACTTGGAGCTCTCAGGTGGAGAAGTTATTCACACAATCTACTGGTGGGCGCGTTGGCACCCTTGTTCTTGCTTCTAACACATCATTAGTGCATTGCTGCAAATATGAAGAGGATTTTTAACACAACGAATATGGACCTCGGGTTCCTCTTAGGTGATGATCTGTTTAAGCATTCACCCTACTCCTGCGTCTCAGGAGACAAAACATCCCCAATCCCTGGCTTTGTTTGCTCTTTATTTTGCAAGCATATTTATCCTGCACGACAAGCTTTAAAAGAACCAAAGAAGAAAGTTTGCCTTACCTCTACGATGCTTTTTAAGTCCTGCACGTAAGTCCTTTCGGTCTCCAGAATCTCCTGAACAACTCTGTCCACATAGAGGAGCTTGGGGCTGGTGGCCGACTCGGCCCCTGTTCTGCTCACCCCACTTGCTTCCATGACCCTTGGGGCCCTGGGCTGAACGTCACCGCCCTGGTCCGTGTCCTGCGGCCCAGCCCGGCTCTCCCGCTGAAGCTCGCTGCTGGAAAACGGCCCGGCTGGAAGCAGCTCCAGTTTTATGGCCCCGGCTTCCTTATCTGGGTGAAACAAGCCCAAGTGGCTGTTTGAGACTAAGGTCATTCTGCTGCCAAAGGAGCCATGGCTGTCCCGGGAAGAGGCGGAGGACGACGTGGAGCCGAAGCTGACCGGGCGGTCGCTGTCGGAGAGCTCCATGGCCTTGGGTTTCAGGGTGTGTGGATGCCTGGCGGAGGCCTTGCGATCTGGAGTTTCTGTTACAGCTGATGGCACTTCAAGACACAACGGGTGCACATCTATATTCATTTTTTTTTTTAAGGAAAGAACAAAAGAAAGAAAAGGAGAAGGTAAGTATTTTTAAATTACATCAGACAAGGTTTAAAGGAGGTTAAAACCTAGCCCAAAAGTATATACGGTCAAAAGTAAAAAAGGTAGTGGGTTCGTTGTAGAAGGATACAAAGGCACCCATGGTAGGTCGAGTTGCAAAGTCAGGGTTTCTAAAGCATCACCTGGGAACACATGAGAAATGCAGAGTCTCAGGCACCACCCCAGACCTACTGAACTTCAGTCTGCACTTTCACAAGACACCAATGCCATTGTGCATAAAGTTTGAGAAGCCCAGCAGCCACTACCTCAAAGTGGGATCACCTGGAGTGACTCATACATGCAGGCCCGTCCAGATTTACCGAATCAAAGGCTCAGTGGTCAGGGCATAAGGCCTCGGTAGCTTTAACAAGCACCGCACGTGATTCTTATGTGCTTAAAACACACCCTGCATGATTTGTACGGAATTTTATGAAACACTGATCTACATTTTAAGTATCCCACTCTCGTTCCACAAAGTTTTCTACTCAACGGACGCTGACGATTTCACATTTCACTTGGATACGGCATGAAAAAAAAGTGTTGGGACAATAACTTTCTCATCCTGGGCAACAAAAGCCAAACTATTAAGACCCATACATCCTTTCAAACGTTCTCTCTCAACACATTTCTCTCAATTTCTACTTGAAAGTTGACATTGGGGCGCCTGGGTGGCTCAGTCGGTTAAGTGGCTGCCTTCGGCTGGGGTCGTGATCCCAGGGTCCTGGGATCGAGTCCCGCATCAGGCTCCCTGCTCGGCGGGGAGTCTGCTTCTCCCTCTCCCTCTGTCTCTCCCCCTGCTTGTGCTTGCTCTGTCTCAAATAAATCAATAAAATCTCTAAAAAAACAAAAGAAAATTGACATCCCATTTGTGGTGCATATGAAGTTATACTGTTACAGAGGATACTTGATTAACTACAATGTTCCCCACATAAAGTTGACAACACAGCAGGGTAAATATACAATTAAATGACATAGAAACTCAATTATGAGAAAAATTATGTATTTTTAAAGAGAAAGGGCCGTTAGTGTTTAGAAGAGGGCACACGAAGAGAATAACTGCAGAGTCCAAAGGTCATTTAATCTACGTAGCATTTAAATCTTGAGGCCCTACGTGAAAGAAAGAAACTCACAGAAGCTAGTTTGGTGAAACACACAAAGTTCCAGTCTTCTTCATTTGCAAGGCAGGACCAACATTGTTTGCCCCTAATGAGATCCCAAGTTTATGGAACAATATGCCTTGCAATGAAGTGTGATGAACGAAGACATTTACTTCATTTTGGCAGGTTACTTACCACCAGGATCCATACCTACGGGTTTTCTTAGAAAAATACAAGAGTGCAACTTATGTTTGGAAGTTTATAACAAAACACACACAACAAGAAGAATATAGATGATCATTTTTCAAAACATGAATTTGGTTTGGCTCTGTAATAAAGATTGTCAAAGAGCTGGTAGCGATATTTCTAGAATATAAAGAATCCATCCGGTCTGTATCCTTCCACAACCTAACTTGCTCCAGATAGCTTATATTCACGGCAAATATTAGTGCCAACTTATAATGCAAATATGGCAATTATAAATGTAAAATCAAAGAACTAAATTGGGTCAACAAGCAGGAATGGTAAGAAATGTGTAGGAAGTGAGTAATTTATCAGCATAACCACTACCACATGGTATAAACTTGCCACAAATTTTTAAAGCTTTTGCAATATTCTTTCTGCTTGCTCTATGACAACTTTATGGCCTATAAAACATGGATTGGTTATAGTAGTTAAAATGCACTTGCCCTAAAAAGCCTGATCCAACTTGAGTATGGCAAAAATCCAAGAATCAGCCAGGCATGTAGGTGTGCTTTCAGCAGAAGACACTTGCCCACATTTGGGACTGGTGTTAAGAAAGTCCCAGGCTGTCAAAAGTAGAAGTTTTCTTCCCCTCATGATGGCATCCATCATAACCATAACCGTGCGGTTGATCTCACTTTCAGAAATGGGCACTACTTTGGGGGAAGTATATGATTATTCTTAAGGTCCCCCAGGTCCAGTGAGGTAACGATTTAGTACCAAAAATAAACTGGATATACCATCCATGAAAGCCAGGGCATCTGGAAAGGTCCAGATCAACCTACTCCCCATAGACCTGGACACACCTTCTCTCCAGTATGGAAAACTATAACAGTTATAAAACTCTTGGCACATACCATTATCAGGATTGGTGGAAATGAACACAATAGAGACTCATTTCTTTACTTTCATGCCAAGTTGGCCAGCCAATACTGGGGCTGAGGGATTAAAGGGGAATAGAAGTGGCCAGGTGTTTCAGAGGAGTCCATGCTGGGCTGCTAGGGATGAGTGCCTTTCACACTTTCAAAGGTGGGAAAAAGTGGGATATGAAACTCACATCAACAGGAGGTCCCTTCAGGGATAAATCTTAAATGACAGCATGAATTTGGGCCCCGTTCCAGGTAAAGCTTCATATATTCTAATACCAGGCCATGTATTCTAGGCCACCGGGCTGGCCTATTCTTCAGACTGCCAACCAGGCTCTTCTAAAATAGAGTATTTGAGATATTTGGTATCTAATATTTAACCAAGCTTACCGCCCCAAATTATACACCTTCCAAAATTGCCAAGGACAGAAGGGAAACATTTAATGCTAGGTCTCATATGATATGAGACTGAATTTGCTAATGGATCACATTTTTATGTTGATTCGTTGCTTAGAAGATAATTATAGTTTTCTCACATGAGGAAATGGACCTCATAAAAACTGCCTGGTCTTGTTCTCACCTCCCGTGAAATAATTTAAAATTTCCACCCTGTCTGGATTATTCTTCGTAATATAGCACACCAATTACTGATATTTGTCTCCAGAGCTGTCCTGGTCAACACAGTAGCTGACATGTGACCAGTAGCCCCATGTGACCACTGAGCACTTGAAATGCAGCTAGTCCAAATTGAGACATGTTGTAAGGAAAAAATATATACCAGATTTCAAAGACTTAGTACAAAACACTGCCTTAATAATTTTTACATTAATTACAGGGTGAAATAATATTTGGGGATAATGAGTTAGATAAAATATCTTAAAATTATTTTAACTGGTTTCATTTTGCTTTTTTTAATATTGCTACTGGAAAATTACAAACTATATATGTGGCCTGCATTGTATTTTAGTTGGACAATGAAGTCCTCTAGATCATTATATTGTTCTGTAAGATTCACATTTATTTCCTTATCAATCTTTATTCAAATAATAGGGAATGGAGAGGCACCTACAATTCCGAGGTTGTCTTTTCTTCCCCTCCATTCATTAATATGCCATGTTGTTATGAGTTAATAAAAACAGAGGTGAAGGCAGTCACTGTGTACTAGATATTGGGGTCATCATCCCCCTGGTATCGGCAACACCCAGATAAAAAGCTGTAGAGCAAGAAAGCCTCTTCCTCCACCTTGAGTGAAGGATGCTGACAGTTTGTATTACCATTTGGCTAACGTGATGCTTTATTTTTCTTCTTATAATCTTTCTTCTTACCAAAACCCAAACACTGGGAGATTACATAGCATCTTCTGAGAACTTGCCCACCATTGCTGATGGCCCATGTCAGCGGGTCTTTTGACTGTGAATATCCTGAAAGAAGCTGGTTCTGCCAGCCCTGAGGGTCTTGGTCCATCTGATCCTTGGTAAACCCAGAGGTGGTGCTGGAAACCCAAGTCGAAGGTCTCAGAGTCCTAATGATTCTTCTATCTTATAGCCAGAGTACGGTATTGTCAGCCTCAAAGCCATTAACATAAAATAGTCCTTCTTGTGCCATCTTCAAGAAAAGGAAAATAATGGCTATAGAGCTCCACATAGGTATGCTTTCCCACATGTCTCTCTCTAATTGTTTCTAGGTGAGAGAGATTTAATTCCTTGGCTTTTCTTTGTTTGCTCCTCAAACTTCCATCATTTTAACTGCTCTCCTTTGGAATGTCACTACCAGAATCAAAAGCAGCCCTTCTCGGCTCTAACTTGTCTCAGGCTGATTCAGGGCTGAGGCAGAACTTTCCATGGCAAGTGAGGCCCAGGCTTCCCGTGACCATGTTTACATGTTGAAGGGGGGACAGAGGGGTCCACAGCTGACCACTCCCTGTCACAACCCCCAAGAGGAGCTTTATGAGGCAAGGCAGAACTCTATGCACAGTGGGGGCTGATGTGTGATCAGGATTTCCAAGTTCTGCTCATTGCTATTCTAGACTTCAAATACCTAGTTTGAGTTCCTTGGCAGGGCAGTCATGGAAATCAAGAGAACGTGTTGCACTCAAGACCAATGAATAACTAAAATTATGTAGTTCCTTATTACACTGCCTGTGAATTTCTCAAAAAGGGGAAACCGACAGAGACACTAAAGTATAAGCAAGAAGTTCTTCTCCCAGCCAGCAAAGCCATTTAATACAGAGCCAGTCTTAGGCAGAGCCTCAAAGTTGTATACAAATAAAGCAAACGAAAAAAACTTTTTAGAGTTGAAGTTATAAGAAATGTACATTTCTATATGTCAAAGACAACACCTGGTATTTGAGGAGAATCCTCCTCCGCTCTACACCTCTGAGATAGTGGATAGCTCACTAGATAAAAGCCACCAGATAGCAACATGAATTTCTAAAATACCAATGTGATTCCTCCATTAATGTCAAGGCCAGGACCACAATTTCACATGTTCCTTAATGCTCGGAGTATTTACTCCCGGTAACATGATTTTCATACTAATCTGCAGTTCTTTGGAAATAAAGAAGTAAAAAAAAAAAAAATAATAATCATACTACCACGTTAATTTCTTAGCTTTGACCTAATTACTACTGTGATGCCAGATGCTAACATTAGGGGAGGCTCGATGCAAGACGTAAAGGAACTCTGGACGATCTTGGAAACTTTTCTGTAAATTAAAAAAATTTTCCAAAGTAAATAGTTAAAAAAAATGGCATTACCATAGAAGAGTCAGTTAAGTCAGTATTTGTACAAGAAGATCAAGAACGGGAAAAGATGTTTTGCGAAAATGCTCTTGTTCAAACAAGAGGCGAGAGGTTGAATGAGAAAGCAAAAACAAAGATTCTTTCAAGCTGTAGAGTCTGATACTAAATATTCAGGGAATTTACTAATGGATTCCCAGGCCAATGGATGGAAACTAAGGGATACAGTGGCTACGGTAGTTGATAGTTAATGCAGCTAATGGATAAAGTGCCTCAGCTAAGTGGTGACTCTAGAATTTCTACATTCAAGGGCACAAGCATGCCAGTTTGGTTAAAAGGGAATTCCCTTGAGGCCTTTTATACAAATGCAGCTGTTTTTACCTTTATGGTCAGCTTCAGCGAATAGAGTTTCAGCTGAGTACACTTCCCGGCCTTCCCACCATACATAACAGCATGGCGGTCAAGTTCTCCTCGCCAGTGGAAGTGATAAGTGCTCCTTTGGGGGGGGGTCTGTTTCTCAAGCATTCATCATCATTCCTCCACATTCTTTCCCTTCCCACGGGAACCCAGATGGGGCAGGGACCTTGCCTGAACCATGAACATGGCACCAGTGCCCTAGAATATGGCAGAGCACGAAGACAGAAGGAGGCTTGCATTAAAACTGGGTGTGGACATGCCCTGGGCCACCACATAGAAAAGTCTGGTTATCCTGAAGCTGACATGCTGGAGAAACCATGTGGTGAGACCACATTGACATGTAGAGAGACGCTCAAGCAACCCTAGCTGCTCTGGGGCCTTCTGTTTGAGTGTTTCCAGCCAAGGTACCAGCTGTGTGAGTGAGAAGCCTCCCAGGTGACCTCAGCACTGTCATGTCTGACTGCATTTCTCGAGTCCCTGATTCAGAACCACAGGGCAGAGCCTCCTCTGAACTCCTGACTCACAAAACTTGGAGAGATTATAAGTGATTGTTGTTCCAAACCACTAGGTTTGGAATGATTTGTTATGCAGCAAGAGATAACCTGAACAGTCTCTATTATAACAGATTAGCTTTGCCATAATATGCCACTGCTTTAACTCTGCATCAAAATTGTCCTAAAAAAAAAAACAAAAACCAAATCAAAACAAACTAAAGCCTCAAAGTTCATTCACATGTGTCACTACTTCTTAAAATTTTACAGGGGAGAAAAATAAACAGAGAGGGTTCAAAGTTGGACTGTGGATCAGACACTATGGTTTCTGATTTCTAGTCCACTATTCTTTGCACTTGGGTATAGATGCATAAAACAGTAGGGCAGAAAAGGCGCTTAGAGATCAGGAAATGCACTTTAACATAAGCTCCTTGCATAAAGCACATGGTACCAATGTGCTAAAAGCCAAAAGGGCCTACATAGTGTATGTGTGTGTGTGTGTGTGTGTGTGAAGGAATGAATATGTACCCAACTGTGTGTATAGAAAGAGCTCAGAGGATGGGCCAGAAATTAGGTTATGACATAACACTCTCTCTTGTGGTTGGACGGTTTGCATTTGTGCCCTGGCCCTGTACCATTTAAGGTTTGTACTACAGCCTTTGGGTTTCAGGTTTCCTCATGTGTAAGTTAGGTGGCCAGATTCCATGATCCCAGCCAACCTTTGGAATGCGACTCCAACCCTGAAATAGACAGCAGGTCCGTTCCTAGCTGGAATCACAGCGTACGCAGTAACTGCAAAATAGCAATTTTCTTCTCCATCCTACTAATGCCAGGTCTTGGATGCTAACACGTAGTGCAGTGACTCTGCCAAAGGCTATTAAAAAAAATCTCTACTTTCAATTTAGATTAAAAATCTATGCTTCTTTGAATAGCACCTTCCTGTTAGTGTGGAAATACTGGTTTCAGGGCAGTAACTAAACAAGGATAGCTACATATTAAGGCTCTATTTGTATTGAACGCACTCAGTTCCCAAAACATTTCCACACAGTTGAAAGGGAGGCATTAGGCTAAATAACATTTTCAGGCGAGGAGGGGGGCTTAGAGGGGGGAGGAGGAAGAAGGGGAGAAATTCAAGTGACTAACAATAGCACTCTGAGTAAATAAATCCATCCACAAAGTACACTAAACATTTTCTTAGAGAAAAAGAGGAAGGGAATTCAAAGTGTCAACAATAGAGATCTGAGTAAATACATCCATCTAGAAGGAACAATATAAAACTATTAAATGTCATGTCCTTTCAAATTCTGAAGGGTGTAGAAAATGGACAAAATATGCCGTTTGGTAAAATGGACGGCTTAAATGTACAATGTGAACCCAATTTTGAATTTAAAATACCACTTATTTATTATCCACATTAGAAAAAGATTGAAAGGTACAATAAAATAACAGAACTGGTTTTACCAAGTAGGAGCATAGTGATTTTTTTCCCTTTGATATTTATCTGTAAATATCACTTTCCTCCACATGTGTATTGCTTTTATACTCTGAAAAAAGTTATTTAAAGAAATTAAAACCACAACCTCAGTTTGTATCAAGTATTTAAATATTTTATATTAAAATAATTGATTTTTATGTTCAATATGATAAATGGAAGAGAATGCCATATATCTTCTTTGAAATATATAACTATCACTACATTAAAATAATAAAAATAAAATGAGTTTCAACGTGCAGTGTTGAATACAGTGCATGCCTCCTTCAACCCGATTATTCCTCCTAAAAAAAGTATTTCTTACCAATAAATATTCAAAATGGAAATTGCATTTACTTCCTCAACTTTGGTTCTCACTAGACTCAGACTAAATTTCACCACTACAGTTGCTAAGCACGAAATTTACAAACATTTATTCCATGCCCCCCCCCTCCAGCCCCCCTGCTCAGCCTGCAGTGAACCTCAGAAAGAAAGCACATTAAAATACTGGGCATTCGATGCGCAACAACCTGGGATTTTCGTTTTCCCCCCAGAATCACAAACACCAGCTCTCTAGGTATTTCAACCTAACTTTAAGGGAAGATCAAAAAACCAACCCCAAACAAGGCAAAAACCATTTTGGACACCGGTTCAGATAGCGAGAAAAAAAAAATCACCTTCTGGACTAATTCCATTGTTGGATAACTTGTCTCCATAGATCGCATTTATAACAGAACAGTTGTAACATATCCCAGGAAGCTGCTTTCCCTGCACTGTGTTGTGAAGAAAAGCCCCTGCAATGGGTTCTCCCCACCATGGACCGTCTCCGGCTGCTCCAAGACGGAAGGCACGAGTTTGTCCCCGCACGGGCATCGGTGCTTTGGTCACATTCACGTGGGCACCTACCTGTGCTCTCCCCAGGCTGAGCCACATCGTCTGCCTCCAGCTGATGCAGTGACCTCACTGGGAGCTCAGGTAAAACAAGAAGCCTTTACTAGTCCGTGCAGCTCCTTCCGTAGAAATATTGCATGAGTCAGCTTTTATCTCTCAAAAGCCAACACACAAAGGCTTTACAAAAACCTGATTTGCAACTTTCTCACTGCCTTTTCCCCCCTAGTGTGCAGACCACAGACTTCAGCATCACCAAGAGCCTTAAATGAAACATGACATCATTCAATTGAGAAACAGGACAATAGACACCACTGTGGGTAACTTGAAAATGCACACTTCGCTGAGCAACACCCTGCGCCTGCCATTCTTTTGTGAACATCAAATACAACCCACACTCGCCTAAAGCGGCTTGGGCTTTACCTTTGGCTCTGGCCACCATTCTCATTAAATTCCACAAAAGAATCAAGATCTCGGGAGCGCTGATATTTTCAAGTTCACTTCCTGAATTGTAAGTGTGTTTTGAAGTAAATGGACACATCTCTAACGTAAGTTTTAAAACTGAAGTTTGCGGGTGGCAGTGAATCACACAGTTGGAGGAAGTTTGGGCACTTGGTTTCCTTTAACGAGACATTTAATACAGTTTTAAGTAGGCAACGTTAAACATGAATGTATTTAAGTTTGATTTTTTAAAAAAACAGCGTTTAAAAACCCATCTGAAGAAAAACATCTAAAATATAAACTCATAAGCATTTCTTAGAAAACAGTCAAATTCTGTGATCTCCTAATTCACAAATACGAGGTAGGAAAGAGAATGATCGAACTCCAACACTTTAGTACAAGAGACTTCCAAATTATTTTGGATTTCGATTTCCTTAAGGCCACCTGTCCTTAAAATGCTATACGTATTTTTATAGAAAGACTCAAAATGTTCATATTTGAAAAAGATACTGAGTTCTTTAATTGAAGGGTCTTCAAAAGTACAAAATGTTACTGAAAACTGGTATGACTGCACCATGGAGTTAAAACTCAGATTATGGATTATGCCCATGTATAGACATGGAAACGTAAACTCTTGCAAAGGATCAAAATCCTTTAAATAGAAGTTTCATTTAAAGCATTCATTTGGTGGTTATGGAAAATAACATTAGCTGATTATCTTTAATATAGCTATTTCTAGCATACCTATTAAGTGATTTTAAACTAACAACATAATAGGATAATTTGCTTTAATGCCTATTTCCTCTCGAATAAGGCTGAACATATGCAAGGCCACTTAAGTAAGCCATTTTGATGGAAAATGATCAGTCAGTTCAGAAGACAACTTTTCGAATAGTTTCTCTCCCACAAAATTCACCAGTTTGACGGAAGTCACTAAATCACAGATGCTGAAAAGGCAGTTTGTGAGGCAGGGTCCTCCCTGGGCTGTGGGGACTCTCTCTCTCTTTTTTTAAGATTTTCTTTTCTTTATTTGACAGAGAGAGACAGCGAGAGAGGGAACACAAGCAGGGGGAGTGGGAGAGGGAGAAGCAGGCCTCCTGCTGAGCAGGGAGCCCGATGCGGGACTCGATCCCAGGACCCTGGGATCATGACCTGAGCCGAAGGCAGATGCTTAACGACTGGGCCACCCAGGCGCCCCTCTGGGGACTCTCTTAATCTTCCATACTGACCTCCATTTTTAATTTTTTAAAAAGATTTATTTATTTTTGAGCGCGCGCAAGAGAAAATGAGTATGGGGGAGTGGCAGAGGGAGAGGGAGAAGCAGACTTCCTGCTGAGCAGGGAGCCCGATGTGGGGCTTGATCCCAGGACCCCGGGATCATGACCTGAGCCAAAGGCAGATGCTTAACTGACTGAGCCACCCAGGCATCCGGCCAAGAAACATTTCTTAAAAGCCATTTCTGAGAGATGCTGTGTACATTGTAAGTGAACAAAACAGCAAGGCTGTATCCAGTGCGAATGCTGGGCGGTCAGTAAACATCCCCATCGGACAAGTGACCTGACTTGCGGGGGCAGCACAGGGCGTATTTGGTCCCATGGGTCAGTCGTTTGTCACTTCACCTGTGTTTCCTGTTTTAGCAAAGTCATCAACTTAAGTAAGGAAACACCGCTCATATCACTCACAAGTAACTGCAACCACTCTCTATCACACCTGGAAACGTGGGTGGTTCATAGGATTTTGAATCTAGTCTTTTAAAATCTAACTTAAAAAAAAAAACCAGCTTTTTCAGAGCGGGGAATACACACACACACACTCTTTGCCTTTCTATTTATCCCAGTACCACATATTTGCTAAGTGAATTAACACATGAACGGAGCCCAAGGCCCAAGGAGGGACAATACAGAGACCTAACAGGGGAGAGGAAGAGAAAAGGGAAGGGAGAGGAACATTTCTTGAGCAACATTCAAGGTTCTTTCACACCTGAGAGCAAAAGAGCCTTCTGTGCCTCAGTGTTTTCTTAAGGCCCCTCTCTCTGCCCCACCTTACTCTGCAAGGGTTTCGCTTTCCAGTCCTTCCCATCTCTGATCCCACTCATCGCTCACACCAGCTGGTACCGGTCCTTGCAGGGGCCCTGCTGGACTTCTGTGTGCGGAGCAAAATAAATCCCAAGACGTGCAAAAGGCATCCTTGCTGCTTCTTCTTGTATAATTGATTTGCCAATATTAACAGCAGGTAAAAAGACTGCTCGGCAAAATCTCCTTGTAAATGACAGTGAGATCGGCCGCAGATAAACTGCACGTTGATGCCTTGTTGGGTGAAAAAGATAACTCTTACTGGAAAGCGGCTCTTTTTCCTTCACGGGCAGCACTGGTTACACAATCAGAAGTGCCGGAACGATTCCCAGTTTCCCCGCCAGGGGTGGGGGCCCAGGGGTGAAAGAGCAGCACCCACGGAACACATGTCCACGGCCAGCAGGCACGAACCGGCCAGCCAGCCAAGTGCAGTCCAGCCTTGTGGCCTAATTGGAAGAGGACCAGAAAGCCCCACTGTTGAAAAACATCCCTTCCCAGAAATCTGCCACAGGGCCCACGCTTCTACTCTGAGAAACCAGCTCCTTTTGGTTTAAGGTAAAAGTCGTCAGTTAACACTCTCATCTCCCCTGGGAAGGGTTAGGGTGTCATTGCCACAGTCCTGTGAGTTAGCCTGGGCGACCGCATCCTTCCAAGGAACCATACGGGCCTTTTAGGAAGAAGCCAGGATGGTACAGAATGGGGAGGACTGGGAGGCTGATGGGGGAAGCAGAGAGAGCACGCAGTTCTAGGGGCTTAACAATGTCTGACCTAATTGCAACAGCTCCAAGGAGCTGGGCAACAAAGGGCGAAAGAATGTCCTGGAGAAAGGAAGAAGGACAAAGTCACGCACACTGTTTTTTTGAATTCAGGGAAAGATTTTGCTTTATACAATCAATACCGGATAAGGCTGATTTAGAAAATCATCTCGCATTTTCAGATACAAAGGTGCTAGAAGTTACAAGGGGCTTTGCTTCAAAACACAACTAATATTTTATACACAGAACGTAACAATTAAAACGCTGGAGCGGGGGCCTGGTTATCTTGCGATTTGAGATATTGCCATTGTAACACATTTCCCAAAACAAATGGTAAAACCAACCGTTTTCTAAAGCACAGGCCATTGACAAAACATTCTTAATATTTTTAGTTTATTAGAACTCTTTTATTTGAAAGAATGAGGCACAAGATTACCTTTTTCTAAGTGCATGCCACAGAGTAAATATGACAAACATTAGAGCCGGTTGCCTGCCAAGAGGTGCCACACAGCCCCAGTGATGTCCCTTTGAAGGACACACTGACCTTCCTCCTGAAAGTGAGATGTAATGTACTAACACCCTTCTGCATCACGGGTGTTTATTAAAAATCTATATACACTCTTCCAGACAGCCTACTCTAAACCCAGAAAATGTCACTAACCATAAATCCTGCCTTGCTATTGTTATACAAACAGAACTATATACTTTGTTAAACACACAAAAAAAGCTAATCTGGTTTTTTTTCTTTCTAAGAGACTCTTCTCAAAGTGAAATAATTTTAATGGTAAGTGAGTTTGTCTTTGCAAATTTAAAAAGTGTTTACTCTCAACAAAAGATATAGATCTAAGGCAGACAAAAGCACTCACGTATAGGAGAAATTAAATGAAAGTATTATTTTTTTTTGTTAGCCCTGAAGTACTGAATCTAATCATAGAAACCAAACTATAAATAATAAATGGTTTCCCAGGACTCAAACCATCCACCTGAAAACATAATTCCTCACCCCCTACTGCACTAAAATGTCAGTATCGAGTCATGGTCGTAAGAATTTTAGGAACCAAACACACAAAGCCCATTATGCACAACACTTTCTGACAGTCAACTCTTTACCTTGCAATCAAGTCATGCTTTAACTTCTCGATCATGTTAGTTGGCCATGAAAGTCAGCTGAGATCGCCTGGAAGGAAGGCACATACTCCGGGGCTCTAAAATTCTGCTGTTTCAGAAGTTCCTCCATGGGCTCATTCCTCCGACCCTAGGACAATCATTAGCTCTGTTTTTCACTCTGTTCTTCTATTAGGATATTTTGGTCTTTATTGTCCAGAGACGATGAATTCAAGTCTTAGTTATTTCTGAACCGAACAATTTTTAGATATCGAGCAAGCAATATGTTGCAAATCGTCTCTTGCTTTCAATCCTAGATCAGTCCCATCTTTAAGGACACCATGGGAGGACTCGCTGTGCTAAGCACAATGAACTAATTATCCCTCTAAGAATGCAGTATGTTTCCAGACACATTTTTCTCCAGGAGATAACACACATCTAATCCATTCATAACGAAAGGCATTCAACACACTCTATCCTTCTGAAAACACTCTTCAAAAAAACGTACAACTTGTAAAAAAGGGCTTGGATACTTTATTGATATCCCACAGCACTCTTTTCCAAAATCATAATTAAAACAAGAATCAATTCTTGTTTTAGAGTAACAACCTTGGAGGTTCATAACCTTTATGTGAGCTTGCAAAACCATTTCACCTGCTGGCAGAGGACAGAGACAAACCCTCTTGGCCAGCTTCCTCCCCGCCCCCCAACTCCCAGGTGATGGAGTGAGAGGGAAGAGCGAGGCCAGGTAGACATCTCCAGCTGC